GGAGCAGACCTTGCAAATCGTCCTAGTCTTGTTCTGTTCCTTTTCCCCATATTCAGGAAGGTTCCGTGGCCTATGAGGGGGGGGCTGTGTATTTCTCGGAGGAGGAGTGGTCTCAGCTGGATCCTGATCAAAAAGCGCTGTATTGGGAAGTCATGCTGGAAAATCATAGGAACGTGGCCTCTCTCAGTAAGGATTTGCTACCCTGCAGTCAGATTACTTAGGAAGTCATTCTGTAATCAGATGCCCATCAGTTGTGCTGCGGGGCAATCGTGCTGTTCCCAAAGGTTGTGCACCTCGTAGAAAAGTTTGCAATTGCAAACATGCTTTTGAGACTTAATAGAAGAACTCTTGGTTTCCTCCCCTGCGAACATATAATTTTGGCGGAAGAAAATGATTAATAAAGGGAAGATAATTTGTATGGGAAGAAAAAGACGTTTCAAAATTTACTTAGTGTATTTTTCGGAGTATAAGATGCAGCAAGGTTTTGAATCGGTAAAACCTTGCACTCTGCAATCCTCCCAAAAACGGCCTGTTTTTCGTAAAAACAGGAATGTCTTTCCTCCCCCAAAAAGGAATGAATATCCTTTAGGGAGTTCGCAGAGTGCTCCCGGGGACTGGGGGAGGAGGCCCATTTTTTGCTCATTTCTGCCCTCCCCAGCCCCCAGGAGTTCTCTAAAAGCTTCCTACAAGCTATGCACAGTCATTTTGGTGAAGGGGGCAGAATTTTCGTAGGCAAAAAAATGCTGTATTCAGTATATAAGACACACCCAGATTTTCAGTCTCTTGTTTGAGGTAAAAAGTGTGTCTTATACTCTAAAAAATATGTTAGTTGTTACAGGTCTTTCCTGGAATTGGCACCTTGAATAAATATTTAGTTTTCTCCTAATTCCTTTTATTTTATTTCCCCTGATTCTTCCCTAACTCAAATCAGAATAATTCCAAATAAAAAAGGAAGTTTGCAATATTGGTGATTAGTGGCAGAACAGGATGTTTTAGAACTTTTAATAGCTTTTATAATTCATACCATTTATGTGAGTCTTTATTGATTAGCCCTTGGGCCATATCAAAGGGCAAAGGTCCTTATTACTAAAATTTGATAAAAGCAATTTAAAATGGAATTGGAATACAATATGATTTAAAATGAAATTGGAATAGAATACAATAATTAGAATGTAGATAATATATGATAACATATGTTGGTATCACCCCTGCAGTTTACTCCAATCGGTCCCACATATGCAGATCTCAATTGAACCATTTTGCTTAAGTACTGTGCTGTGTTAAATATTATTTAGAAATTATCATTTCTGTGCCATGCCACTGTAAGTGTGCAAATATGTAACATATTGGAATTTGACCAGAATTCAGAGGGAAATTCATAGTACTTCCTATAGTTTGATCTTTACCATAACTTTGATGTCATTTTCATTTTTCCATTTTTTTAAAGGTGATGATGGGCAGGAGAATAAAGATTCCTATGAACCATTACAAGGGATAATCGGTGAAGAGGGAATGGAGACATCTGCAGTTGGAATAGAAGTAGAAAGATGTGAGAAAAACCAGCCTGACAATTGGAATCAGGAAAGCTCCTCTTCCGTTGATGCTCCAGTGCAAGACTTTGTGGTCCAACAAGGGAAAATAAAGGAATATTTTGGGGAAAGTGTGAAGCAGATCAAAGACGAATTAGATGCAAATGGACACTATCCATACCAAACTAATGGAGAAGGTAATTTATTCACAGACAATGGAAAAGATTACAATTGGACATTCACTTTTTCTCAGGGAAATAGGTCTCCTACATCTCAAAAAAGGACCCACATGGAAGAGAAGCAATCTAAAAATTGGGAATATGGACAGACGTTTAGAAAAGGCAGTCAACTTACTTCCCATAGCTGGATCGAGAAGCCATATAAATGCAGAGAATGTGGCAAGTGCTTCAGAAGATACAGTCATCTATGTTCTCATAAAAGGACCCACAAATCGCAGGGTCCACATAAATGCAAGGTGTGTGGGAAGATCTTTCCTTATCCCAGTAAACTTGTTACGCATGAAATAGTTCACAAAAATGAGAAGCCATATAAATGTAGAGACTGTGGTAAGAGCTTCAAGACAAGCAGGTGTTTCACTTCCCATAAAAGAATCCATACGGGGGAAAAACCCTATCAATGCACGGAGTGTGGAAAGAACTTTCGGTTGAGGCAACAACTTACTTTACATAACTGGATCCACAAAGGGCAGAAGCCATATAAATGCAGAGAATGTGGAAAAACCTTTGCTTATCCCAGTAAACTTACTACGCATGAAATAGTTCACAAAAATGAGAAGCCACATAAATGCAGAGAGTGTGGTAAGAGCTTCAAGGCAATCAGTTATCTTACTATCCATAAAAGAATCCACACAGGGGAAAAACCCTATCCATGCATGGAGTGTGGAAAGAGCTTTAGGTCAAATCATCAACGTACTTTACATAACTGGATCCATACAGGGCAGAAGCCATACACATGCATGGAATGTGGAAAGAACTTTTCTCGGAACAGTTCTCTTACTTTACATAAAAGGATTCACAAGGGAGAAGCCATATACATGCACGGAGTGTGGGAAGACTTTTGCTCAGAACAGTCAACTTACTTCCCATAAGATGAACCACACAGGAGGGAGACCATATAAATTCACTGACTATGGAATGGATTTCTGTGAAAATGCATTGCTTATAAAACATAAAAGGACCCACACAGGGGAAAGCCATATAAATGCATGGAGTGTGAAAAGAGCTTTGCTTGGAACCATCAACCTGGTCATCATAACAGAATCCACACAGGGGAGAAATCATTTAAATGCATGAAGTGTGGAAAGAACTTTGCTCAGAGAAGCACTCTTATGTTCCATAGCAGGATCCACACATGAGAAACAATTTAAATGCATAGAGTCTGAAAAGAGTTTTGCTTTAGAATCATCAACAATTGCCATAACAGAATCCAGATAGGGGAGAAACCATACAAATGCATGACATGTTGAAAAGGCTTTACTGCAAATGACGATCTTACTTTACACAAGAAGATCCAGAAATTCCAAAGTAGCAAAATGTTGATCACATCATCACAAGTCATAATTTTGAGATGCAGTTGAAATTCTATTGGGGGGG